GTTTTGTGTTATTTTGTTTGAGCAGGTTTTTTGTGATGATAGATCTTGAGAAGATCTTTCCGACGCAACGAGAATCCCTTCAATCGGAGCAAGAACGCGAAAGCTATGAAGATTCAAAGTTCATGAGCTTGCGTTACAATTGCGGCGGTTACAAAGTGAAGTTGTGGGGTGACTCTATATGGAGTTGGGACCTTTGGGGGTTTGGGAAATTTGTCACTCTACTGTAACAGCTGCAAATTGGTTGGGAACAACCAAGCTAGGTTGGCAAGGGTGGCCAACTTGGATGGATTGGTTGGGAAGGGACAAAGGTCAAAGTTGAGGTTCCTATAGGGAGGGAATCTTTGTGCTTATGGGGTTTCCTTGGTTGGGGACTCTCTTGGGACCTTCCCTCTCGTCCCTCTCTTTCTATCCCAACCTTTCTCTTGCTCCTCAAATTCCTTGTGAGATTCTTGAACTTTGATTGAACTCTTGAGATTGAGTTAAGTTCTCCTCCTACAGCTTACCCCCTAGTGCGTCGAAAGCCATAGCGTCGCGAATACTTCATCAATCAACGTGATTCAAATTGGGAACGGTAGCTGAGATCAAGAGCTACAACATATCCAAGTTTCGCGACATTCCAACGGCTAGTGTTTTGTCGACGTCGTTTCTTGTGAAGACGACTTTTCTGTCCAGAATTTCGGATTTATATTTTGAGTAATTCTAGCTCCTAAGTTCACCTAGACTCTGTCCTTAATCCTAACAGCCTCCGTGAAGGCGGAGCTGCTGAAGAGACACACCTGCACTGACCTTGGAGAACTGCGCCACTACCTTGGCTTGCAGATCTCCAGGGACAGAGCAGCCCGCACCATCACTTTGACTCCGTCACACTTGGTGCGCCAGGTCCTTCAGAGGTTCGGCCTTCAGTTCTCCTCTGCACAGCCTACTCCTCTGCCTCTAGACCACAGGCTCTCCGCTCCTGTTCCTGAGGAGTGAGCAGAGCCCAGTGGTCCTTACGCAGAGCTGGTGGGTTGCCTCATATACCTGATGACTTGCACGCGCCCAGATCTCGCATACCCTCTCAGCATCCTGGCTCGCTTTGTGGCAACAGGCAGACACCGACCTCAGCACTGGTCTGCCGCTAAGAGGGTTTTGCGTTATCTTGCAAGTACATCGGGCATGGGGTTAGTGCTAGGAGTACGTAGGCCAGTGGTCCTTACTGGACACACAGACGCTTCTTGGGCAGACGACGCCGAGACCCTTAGGTCCTCACAGGGCTACTGTTTCAGCCTTGGTTCAGGTGCCGTCTCGTGGAGAGCTACCCGCTCCTCGTCTGTTGCCCAGTCCAGCTGTGAGGCCGAGATCTACGCCGGTGCCATGGCGGCACAGGAGCTGCGCTGGCTGACCTTGCTCACTGACTTAGGTGAGCGGCCTAGCTCTGCCCCGGTCCTGTACGTTGACAACAGGGCCATGATCCTCCTGTGTCAGGAGCCTCGACTCGAGGGCAGAGCGAAGCACATTCAGCTGCAGTACTTCCTCGTACGTGAGCTGCAGCAGCGTCGCCAGGCGCACGTAGTACACTTGGCCTCCGGTGCCAACACAGCTGATATCTTTACGAAGGCGCTTGCGCCTCAAGATCATCAGCGACACTATGTACAGCTCGGTCTCGTTCCTGTAGCCTCTCACTTGCTAGGGCCTTGACTTTGTACTGTCCTTTATATATATATTTTACCCAGACTTGCCTTGTGGCCTCTCCCAGTGGCTGGACTAGTAGTGCCGCCCTTGGCTTGCTCTTGCCTTGTCTGTACTCTTTTTGACTGGTCTTTAGACCCTTGTCTCAGTGGCTGGACTAGTAGTGCCGCCCTGAGCTGCTTCTTCCCTTGTTAGGCACTGCCCCTATATAGTCTAGGGGGTGTGTCAAATGTAACTTAGGTTGTTACTGTAGACTATACTGGATTGTGCCTTAGAGGGTACAACACCCTAGTCTATATATCCTTGTACACACACATTCTAGTTCAATCATTTTCTTTCTGATACCGGGTTCTCTACGCCTGCTAAACCAAGGCTGGTTGCCGATTGGTCGAAATTATTGTCTGCGCATGCTAGTGGCTGTACAATCTGTCACGATAAAATTCCCGTCGCAGGTGCAATTCGATTTCGTGGCCCAAGACAAGCAAAAAAATCCGGGCTGCTGCCCGACGTGAAGCAAAACATTCGCTCAAGGGTCGTTTCTAGTTGGGCCCAACTAGAAAGAGGGGTCACAATTTTAACCTCTTGCTTTAAGGGCCTCTCGTTGTACGCCAAGTGTATCCGTCTCAACTCAACAGTAAAATAGAGAGTCAATTCGGCTGATCCAAGGGGGTCCAATAAGATTGCTCTTGTGTTTTCAGAGCGACCACACCTAGTGGTCAGCGAGCCTAAAAAAATCCAGATGTGTGAGGCTCGCCAACCAATGTTGAGGCAAAAATCCACATGATGCCCTAGATACGACCAGCTTGTAGACAGCAAAATTGCGCCAGCCATTCCAACGGAATCCGTCGGCGTTGCCCCAGGAAAATCCGTCCACCCACAGCCAATACGAGCGCGCCACGGAAGCAGCAGAGGGTTCCCAACATTGTTCCCCCCGCTAGTAGTGCCAACACTCCAGGGTTATTTATACGCCCCAAACAGCGACCTCTTCACGACACAAGGAACGAGCCCGCCAAACCCACAAGGTCATCCACATGGCACCTGTGCGCCGTGTTGCGCTCGCCATCGGGCAGAAGGTTGTAATCTGCCAATACGCCAAGAAGAACCCGACCTTGCGGCTCGAAGACATTGGGCGATAGTGCCACATCAGATACGGCATGTGGCCGGATCGCAGCACAGTCGGGCGAGTTCTGCAAACCGAACAGAAGAGGCGGGCCATCGGGCCCGAACGCGCCAAGTTCAAAAGGGTGCGTAGCCCACATTGGTCTCTACTTGAAGCTCGACTCAAGAGCTGGTTGAAAAGCACGAATGGTGCTGGCTTGCCAGTTTCGACGACTCTAATCCAGCAGCGCGCGATACTGCTAGCCCCCGAGTGCAACGTGCCTAGCGAGTTTAAAGCTTCTGTTGGATGGGTGCAGAAAGCACTGCGCCGAATGGGATTCAAGTGGCGTAAGATGAGCGGCGAAGCGAAATCTGCCGACGAGGGCGCCACACTGACCGTGCAGCTACATTTCCCGAGGCTGTGCGACCAGCTTGGCCTGACCCCGGAAAACATGTTCAACATCGACGAGACATGTGTCTACTACAGTCTCCTCCCCGACCACACATTCTGCATCAACCCTACCCCGGGCAAGAAGGTCTGCCAGGACCGGCTTACAGACGCGGTGCTGGTGAATGCGGACGGCTCGAAGCTTTTCAAGCAGCTCATCATTCACAAGTTTGAGCGGCCCCGTTGCTTCGCAAAGCAGAAATTTGACCCTGCGAAGTACTGCTACTGATGAAATATGTGGCGTGTGATACGAATAACAGTCGGTTACACACCCGTCTATCCCATATGCCCCGTGCAGGTTTTTACGGTGTTCTTCGAGCACGTTAATGCGTGCTGCATGGCGGAAGGACGCCGCATCGTCGTCATGCTCGACAACGCATCGAGTCACCTCCTCCAATCCCCTCTCGCGACGTCAGCCGACATCTGCGGGTTTTGGACGCGCCTCGTGTACTTGCCGCCGAACACGACCCCGTTCACTCAGCCTCTGGACCAGGGCCTCATCGCCGCTCTGAAGGCACGTTACAAGGTGGAGTTGCTGCAGGCAGTTCTCGCACAGTGGCAGATCCCGGGCATCACCGTCTTCGCTATTTTGAAGTGGAAGCCCGAGATGTGGCAGGTGGTAACATGGGTGTCGGATGCGTGTCTTGGCTTGGACACCGCAACCATCCAGAAGTGCTTCTGGAGGACGCGAATGCTGCCCGCCACCTAGCAGCCGCTGCTACCTCTCCTCGGCGCTACTTCTAAAGAGCAGGAGCCCCAGCTGGATTCAGAGATCGAGCCAGTGCAGCAGATCATGCTCGCCCTGCCATTCGGCCCGGGCGACATGAGTTCCGTCGCTCGCTTCGTCACCGCCGAGCGTGACGACGAGACGAGTGAGGGTGACTGGTGTCACCATGCGGATGATGCGGAATGGGCCGCAAAATCTTGGTCGTAATTTATTTGGGAGGTGAATTCCCAAATTTTGGGTATCGAGCAGGACCAATTGCCCCGGGGCAAGCATTAAAGCGAGAGGTTATAATAGTGACCCATCTTCCTAGTTGGGCCCAACTTGATTGGGACCCTTGAACAGATGTAGGGGGGACAAACGAGCGGGCAGAAGAAAACGTCGTTTCGGGGCGGGCAGTCATTCAGCAGCACAAGCACCTGCCCGCGCGACAAATTCGGATATGTGGACACGGTTTTGTTTATACCCATAATACTAGCTAGCGCGCCTCGTTGAGGCTCGTTTGTTACCGTATTTTGTCGACCTGGATTGGTTGCGGTTCAGTCAAAGTCAAAAGGGGGGACACGCAATGGGAAAAGTGTGGTTGGCGGGTAGTCGAATTAAACACACCTTGATATGGTAGCTATAGGTGGGGAGAAATTTCGACCAATCAGAAAACCAGTTGTGTTTTTCCATGAGTAGTGAACCCGGGTCCAACTTGAAAATCAAGTTGGGCCCACTTGGAGAATGACAAGGCAATGGGGTCGCACAAGTACCTGCGACCTGTGACAGCTCGCAAACCCTGCCCTACAAATTTCCCAGCCAATCGTGTGCTCGCGCTTGTTCGCTCTGAACAGCGCGGCTGCGTTATGGAACTTCCCTGGTTCTGCCGAGTAAGGCTAACTAACAACCCCTTAGAAAGAATCGAGGGTCCCTTGGTTTCAAGTTGGACCCGCCTTAATATTTTAGCCCCTCGCTTTAAGTCTCGGCATCGTCGGTTAGCTTGCTGCTTAGCCCTCTGGTTGGCTTTGAGGATGGCATCAGCGGCTTTATTCTGAGACTGTCGGAGATTCTCGACGAACTGCTGAGATCTTGGTGCCGGGTTTTCTATCGGCGGCGATAGCGGGTTTGTCGGATCACGTAATTAAGGAAGAACTGGGACTGAGTAATCGTGGCCGATGGGGCGTTGTTGTATGCAAACTCGATCAAGGAAAGGGAGTCTTCCCATTGGGCCGGGTCTGTGCATGTCGTGCGAATCAGCTGCTCCATCGTCTGATTGGTGCGCTTAGTCTGGCCGTCAGATTGTGGGTGATACGCTGTGGATAGATGCAGACGTGTGCCGTATTGCTGCCATGTTTTTGTCCAGAAGTTGGACGTGAACCGTGGGTCACGATCGCTAATGATTGCTAAGGGGATGCCGTTTAGCCGCACGATGTTCCTGAGGAACAGCTCCGCTGTCTGCTCGGCAGTAATCGTTGTCTTGCAGGCGACGAAGTGGGCCATCTTGGTCAACCGGTCAATGACGACGAGAATCGTGTCGTTACTGCTTGGACCAGCTGGCAGGCCAGTGACGAAATCCATCGTCACCTGTTGTCAGGGTTGGCTGGGTGGCACGAGCGGCTGTAGCAATCCTGCAGGTTGATGTCGTGAAGACTTCATGCGTTGACACGTGGCGCAGGAGGTGGCGTACTGCTGCACGTCTGTCGGCAGGTCGGGCCAGTAATAATTACGGCTCAGTAGTTTGGCAATTTTGTCCACGTCGTAGTGACCCGAGAAATTCGAGTGATGTGCCTCCTGGATCGGTAATTCCCGTAGGGTACGGTAGGGGGGAATCCAAATCCGATTGGTGCCGGATTTTAGGTGATAGTCCCCTTGCTTGACCGTCAGTTGGGGATGATTGTTAGTGGTGAAGAATGGGCCAGTACTGTATCCGTGGGTGAATAGGCCAGTTAGCAGTGGATTAGCTTGGGTAATTAGGACTGCGGCGGTGTGGACTGAAGGGCGGGTCAGTGCGTCGGCGACGTTGCTAACCCCCCATTTGTAGGTGACTCTGTAGTGGAAGTTGGACTCGAGGAAATCAAGCCAGCGAATCTGTAGGGGATTCAGTGTCGGTTGGGCGCGGATGAACTGTAGCGACTTGTGGTCTGTTCGGACTGTCACGTCAGTACCCGTCAGGTAGCAGCGCCAGACTTTGAAAGCGCGAACGATGGCGACTAACTCCTTGTTGTGGACAGGATAATTTTGCTCGGCCGGGTTCAGCTTTTGTGACTCGTAGGCGATGGGTTGGAGGCCTTCGCCGAAGTCTTGTAACAGTACTGCGCCCATGGCCAGATCGCTAGCGTCGGTGATGACCTCGAACGGACGGTGAGGATCTGCAATCCGAAGAACTGGAGGTGTAGTCAGGAAATTTTTGAGCTGTTCAACGCAGCCTGCTGCTCTCCCCCCCCACTCATAAAACTTTCCCTTCTTCAGTAGATAGGTGAGAGGGGAAGTTACCCCCGCCATGTTCGGGATGTAATTCACAAAACCTAGAAAACTCTTACGTTCACGGAGATTAGCCGCAGTTTCCAGTCTTGGATTATCGCGATCTTCTTGGGGCCGATCTGAACGACGTCGATCGAAATGACGTGTCCCAAAAACTCCAGTTCCTGAAGGAGAAACTCGCACTTAGAGCCCTTGGTGATGAGTCGGTGCTGCTGCTTCCAAATCCTTCAAATGCTGCTCCCGGGTAGTGCTGTAGATCAAGATGTCGTCGAGGTACACGATGAGGCATTTATCCAGCAGCGGCCGATAAACCTCGTTCATGCTAAACTGGAACGTCGAATGCTCGTTTGTTAAGCCAAAAGGAATAACCGTGTACTCGTAACTCCAGTACCGGGTCCGAAACGCCGTCTTGTAGCGGTCAGCTTCGTTCATGTGGATTTGGTGATAACCACCTCGCATGTCAATTTTAGAAAAGAACTTGGCTCCACAAAGTTGGTCGATGAGTTCGTCGTCACGCGGGATAGAATAGCGGGACTTGATGGTAGTCCGATTCAAGGCGCAGTAGCCAATACATATTCGTAGACCGCCACCTTTCTTCGGGGTGAACAGGATCGGAGCTGCAAACAGGGATGTGCTGGGTCGAACGAAACCTTTCTCGAGTAGGTAGTCCTGCTGGCGTCGAAGTTCATCCAGCTTGGGCTGAGTCAGCCGCCATTGAGTCCGAACAGTAGGTTGCACGCTGGGCTCCAGCTCGATTTTGTGGTCGTTGTCTCGCTCAGGTGGCAAAACCGCCGGTAGGTCGTCGGGAAAAATGTCGGCGTGTTTCCGAATCACCATTGCCAAATCATCCGCGACAGCCTCGCAGAGTTTGTCGATGTCGGTAGGCGTGTCAACAGCCGGCGATGCGATCCATCGGACGGCATACAGTTGCGCCCCTTGAATCACTGCGCTGATGGTCGATGTGGTCGAATCTTGATAGCTCCACTTGGGTAGTCGTCACCACTTGCCAATCCATCTGATGCGGCAATCGCTCGTCCGCCAGTCGATGCTCGTATTGTATTCGCGCAGCCAATCGTGTCCCAGCAGTATGTTGCAGCCGTCCAAAGTTGTCGCCAACATCTTCGTCGTGAAACTGAAATTTTTGCCGCATGTTAATCGCACGTGAGGTACTCGCTCCCGAATTGCCACTGGTGTTCCGTCGACCAATCGCACGTCGATTTTAGGCATGCAGCGCTTCGGCTGCAGTCGCAATTTTTCCGCCTTTGTCACGTCCATCAAACTGTGGCTTGCCCCGCCATCAACGAATATTTTGATGCGGGTGTCGTCAACTCTCCCTTCAACCAGCACAGGGCGATCAACGGGTTCACCCCCCTTATTCAACCAGGAATGGTCGATAGCCCAAATTGGCACTATAACCTGGTGGGGGTGGTGGCGTTTGGGCGACAAGTCAAGTCAGTAGGTGGCCCATCTGCTACTGACGATCTCCGTTTCCCGACTGCTTCTTGTTGTTAGGTAAGTTATTCTTCAGCTGCGGGCAGTCCCTTACCATGTGACCCGTCTGGTTGCAGCGAAAGCAGGTCCCCAAAAATACTCGGGCTGCAAACACGTCCACACCGTTGATTGATGTGTGTTGGGGCTGGCCTCGAAAGCGATTTCCCTCCCAAAAACCCGCTCTCGCGAGTCCACGGCATGCGTCCACGGCAATGCACTGTCATAAATGTTTGCTGTCGTAAAGAAGATCTCCATGGCGAACAGCCACCCGCTCACTGTAGTTGTCCTGTCGGTTGGGTTGAATGGCGGAGGCATCAGTGGTTTGATTTTAATGGCCGCCCGCGGCTCGCTGTGGACTTCTTCAACTGCTTCAGGTGTCGCCGACGCCCTCGCTTCGCTCGCATCATCTTCGTCTCGGGTAACAGGCCGCCCCTGACGCGTTTCACCCCGCGTCTGGCGAAGCGACGAGTTTTCGTTGCGCAGCGTCTGCACTTTGCTTCCCAGCGACCCGAACTTGTCGGCGAGTTGTCGAAGCTGGGCCTTCAGTGTCGTCACTGTAGCCGCCCTGGCTTGCAACTCCTCAAACTCCTCCAGAGTCACGTTCCTAACACTACGACGGACATAGGTTTCCGGCGTGATAGACATGTTGGAAAATTTACCTGACAGATCTGAGGGTGCACACGCTTTTAGTTGGAGGAGCTTCAACAAGCTCACCTACCAACCGCTGGCAAATCCTCTATTCCGTCGAATCCTCTCCCGATATAATCGGACTACTCTACTGAAGACTAAGCGGGCATGAACAGGGCTCTGATACCAGCTGTTATGAATTAATCAGAGTAATAACAGGTAGTGCAATAAAGGAGTTGTGATTCAAGAGTGTCGATACAAATGAGGGCCTAGGCATTTATAGGCACAAACAGAGCTAGCCGAGAACCACGCGAACAGGTTGGGGTGATTCGGTTGGCGAAAGCCACGGAAGCGCTGCGCATCTAGGTTTGGGTTCGCGAAATGGTTCGGGACCGAAGAAGTTGGCTGAGCTTGGACCTCCGAGAGTCGAGGGCGTACGCGCTGTAGTCGAGCCCAGTAAGGAAAAGGGAATTTCCTTTCAAAGGTCCAAATAGGTTAACATTTGCGTTGTGCCAGAAAAGAGAGTATTTTTGGACTTGCTATGTTAAGAGTGTTAATTTCTTCCGCTAGTTTTCTGACAAGCCTGCTAAAGTATGGTGGAATCTGTGTCACCAACCTTCGCAACTTTTTGGGTTGCGGGAAGGGGGAGGAGGGGGCGTGGCTAAACGTTTTTAGCCAAATCTTCCTAGGTGCGTGGGCGTGCGGGGCTGTAAGAGGAATTTGCATGTCTGTGAGGGACGCCAAATATTCTAGGTTTAGGGTGGCCTGGGTGGGAGGAGTCTCTCTATGTTAAATTCTCTAGGTTTAAGAGAGACTTAGCCGAACTCTCTATGTTATAGAGTAAAGGCAGGAATATTCCTGCAATGAGGACTAGCCGAATATTCGAGGTTTCGTGCGTGTGGGTAGTAGGACTATCTTTGTCAGGGAGGGACTTCACCGAATTCCTCTATGGTCGAGAAAGGAATGTTCCTGGCTATGACGGACTTAGCCAAAAACTCTGGGTTTCAGGTGGTACGGGTGGGAGGAGCACGGTATGTCTGTGTGTGGGGGACTTGGCCATTTTTGCTTGGTTGCGAGATTAAGGAATGATACTGGAAGTTGGGGACTTAGCCGAATCTTTTGGGTTGTGGGGGTGTGGGAGGAGTTATAACTGTGTATGAGGAACTTAGCCAAATTTCCTGGGTTTGGGGGCACCATGGGATTGTTTCTGAAAGTTGGGGACTTCACCGAAACAATGTCTCTCCCACCCTGGGCCAAATTTCCTGGGTTTGGGGGCACCATGGGATTGTTTCTGAAAGTTGGGGACTTCACCGAAACAATGTCTCTCCCACCCTGGGTGCAAGGAGGGGGTGTTAAAATAGCACAATGAATAGAAACAAGGGAGAACAAGGAAGATATAGGGTTGGAGTTGTACCCTCTAAGAACACAAAACTACTAGCCTATAACTTCTACATACAAATATATGTATCAGTTGACAACACCCCCTAGACTAGATAAGGGGCTCTGCTGAGAAAGAAACACGCAGCTCAACGTGGCACTACTAGTCCAACCTCTAAGGCAGGGGTCCGAAGACCAGTCGGCAAGAGTACAAACAAGAAAAGAGCAAACCAGGGCAACACTTCCAGTTCGGCCACTGGAAGTGAAGCCACAAGGCCAGTCAGAAAGGTAGATATAAAGAGGAGTACACAATCAAGGTCCTAGCAAGTGAGTAGCTACAAGAACTAGACCAAGCAAAAAAAAGTGCCGCTGATGATCTTTAGGCGCAAGCGCCTTAGTAAAGATATCAACTGTATTGGCACCGGAGGCCAAGTGTACTACGCGGGCCTGGCGACGCTGCTGTAGCTCGCGTAGGAGGAAGTACCGCAGCTGGATGTGCTTTGCTCTGCCCTCAAGTCGAGGCTTTCTTGTCAGCGTACAAAACTAGGGCACAGCTAGGCCGCTCACCTAAGTCAGTGAGCAAGAAGGTCAGCCAGCGGAGCTCCTGTGCCGCCATGGCACCGGCGTAGATCTCAGCCTCACAGCTAGACTGGGCAACAGACGAGAAGCGAGTGGACCTCCACGAGATGGCACCGGAACCAAGGCTAAAGCAGTAGCCCTGGGAGGACCTGAGTGTCTCAGCGTCATCTGCCCAAGAAGCGTCTGTGTGCCCAGCAAAGACCACTAGCCTGCGTCCTCCTAGCACTAGCCCCATGCCTGATGTACTTGCTAGATAACGCAAAACCCTCTTATCGGCCGACCTGTGCTGTGGTCGGTGTCTTCTTGTGGCGAGATCTGGACGAGTGCAAGTCATCAGGTACATGAGGCAATCCACCAGCTCTACATAAGGACCACTGGGCTCTACCGAATCCTCAAGAAAAGGAGCTGAGAGCCTGTGGTCTAATGGCAGAGGTGAAGGCTGTGCAGAGGAGAACTGAAGACTGAACCTTTGAAAGACCTGGCGCACCAAGTGTGACTGTGTGAGAGTGATGGTGCGCGCTGCGCAGTCCCTGGAGATAGCGGCAAAGCTCTCCTAAGTCAGTGTAGGTGAGTCTCCTGAGCATCTCGGCCTTTCACAGAGGACAGTGCGTCTGTGTGTGCAGTAGCGAAGACCAGGTCGTCTACGTAGACAAGGATGTACAACAGAGTCTGGCAAGCACGAACGAAGAGCGAGGGATCTGCAGAGGACGGAAAGAACTGCAGGTCAGATAGCATAGCACGCAGCGTGTCGTGCCACTCACGAGGCACCTATCCCAGGCCGTAGATCGGGCGCCGGATGAGCCACTGGGTCCCATGAGGGAAGGTACCGGTGAAGCATTGTAAACGGCAGAGGTAGACCTGCTCTGGTAGGCTGCCCTGAGGAAAACTAGTGGAGAAGTCGAGGGAATGGAGCTCGTAGTCACGCTGTACTGCTACGTGTAGCAGTGCCCGAAGAGTAGTCATCTTTGGGGTCGGGGCGAAGGTCTGAAAGAAGTCAACACCCTCGCGCTGACTGAAGCCTCTAGCCACTTAGCACGCCTTAAACACAGGCGAATCTCCAGGGGAGCGCTTCACCTTGAAGAGCCACCGGCCATCAACTACGTTCACCCCTGGCGAAGGAACTGCGTCGATGTAGGTGCCGGTGGATATCCTAGATGCCATCTCCTGCTCCATGGCAGCTATCCACGGAGAGGCCCATGGTCCCGAGGTCGCCTCAGTGTAAGTGCGAGGGGTCGAATGTCAAGGGCGTCTGGGTCACCCTCATGGAACAGAGATGGGGAGCGGCCTCAGACAGGAAAGCAAGCTCGTGCTGCCTGTCCTCTAGGACGTCACTGCCAAGGGCAGAAGCACCCCCGATGGACAGAGAACAGACAGGGTCAGAGACCAGAGGGGTGGCACAGTCAAGGCGGTGGGTAGAGGCGAAGTCAGTGACAGCAGCGACAAGAGCGTCAAGACTGGAGACAGGAACATACAGGTCGGTAACGAGGGAGGCAAGGACCTGAGGAACAAAGAGGAAGAGTGGCACAAAGGTAGTCAAACAGAGGGGGAGGCGCGGCAACAAGCGACGACGGAGGAGGCGAAGGCAAGAGGGGAGGACAAGACGCGTGGGAACGAAGCAACCTAGGGTGAGAATGCTGAACGAGAGAGACATGATGAGCACGAGAGGGATGGCGAGACCAGAGGTGAGACGGAGGCGTCTGGTCAGGAGACAGAGGAGGAAACACAAGAAGGGAACGAGGGGGGAGATGAGCCGTAGACGAGTCCGGCGGA